GGACTACAGCCCACGAAAGCTTATGCTCTAATAAATTTGTTAGTCTCTAAGGTGCCACAAGTACTCCTGTTCTTTTTGTAGCCTATAAGTGAGCTAACAAGATGAGCAGAGCAGAGCAGTATGTAATGCAATTGAAGAGTGCTTCTGAAAGGGGAATAGCAAAGAAAAAGCTAAAATTGAGTTCAACGTGATGTGCGTGTCAAATGCCCCAACTAATCTGTCTATGGGGCATATTCAACATGGATGTATATTTTGATTAACTTTCAAAAAAATATTCCCCTCCACTTCCATGAACTGCCTTATGAATTCAGACCCATGCTCCATTTTGTCTGCATCCTTCCCTGACAATGGCCAGTAAGATTCTTCAGAGAACGGTATAAGAACCCTACAGCTGACAGTTAAGAAATAATCTGTCCAAAAGGGGAAATTTCTTCCTAACCCCAGTCAGTTTGCAATTGGCTATGTCCAGAAGCTTAAGGGTTTATATCTTATGTTATACTGTCTACCTAGCAGTGACCTTGATTTAGCACATTACACTTCTTCTAACCTTCATTAAGCAGAGAGACCTGTTTCATCGCTCAAACAGCATATTTAGATCTTCTACAGAGCAGTTACTGGCTACAAAACATACACAACACATGGCAGGAAGGGAAATAAGAGCCATTTATTTTGTCCAGAGAGTTTAATTAATTCCCGTATATTTTACTGTGGAAACATGGTACAGTAAGTCCTGTATCAGTTTAACTGCAATGCTGACCACATTTAAGCACCTAAATAAAAAGTGGCCTGATTTTCTCTGAAGTGCCAAGTACCCACAAATTCCACTAGAAATATTATGGAAGAAGTGGGAAGTTAGATAGTGCTAATGTGCAAGGCAAAAGAGTGAGGAGTCAAAGACCTGAGTGACGTGGAGCATGCTAGTGTTGTTAGCAGTTCCAGAGAACTTAAAAAAAGGGGAGGGTTTGAGAGGAAAGGTCAGGAGCAGTTTTGGCTGTGTGGAGTTTGATGATCAGACACCTGGGAAGAAACTAAAAAAACAGGCTAAAGATGAAGGATTGAATGAAGGGAGACAAGTCAGGAGTGGAGAGGCAGACCTGTGAACCAACGGTGTACCGATGGGAGGTGCAACCACGTGAGTGACTGAAGCATGAAGAGTGAGAAGGAGGGTGGCCAAGGACAGAACACTATAGAGAGCAGGGTTGAAAATTTTGACCAAGCGTAAAGGACCTAGGTTTCTGATGTTCTTTGAGAGTACAGGTTTTCATTAAAATAAATATAAATTGTATAGAGTTATTTGTGCTAGAAATGTTAATACAGAATACAGCTAAAATACAAGAGCACAATAACCAGCATTAAAAAGTCATGAATAATGTTTTAAAATTTTATGCCAAGAGTTTATTTCAAAGGAAGCAGATTGGATGCATTAGAACATGATCCAGTTTATGATATTCATACTTATACATGTATATATGAGTATTTTAATGTGTGCTTAAGAAACACAGGTTTAAGTGACGTGGTATCTTCCATTTCTTGTACACACAAAATCCTGCTAACTCCAGTCAGAATTTTGGGTACATGAGGAAGGCAGGACTGGGTCCATAATATAAAACTGTCAATTATTATTACAGAACAGCTCTTACTCACTTTTTTATGAAACTCTGTAGTTGCTTCCATGAGATTCTTTTCCTGATCTGTGAACTACAGATTAAGAAGAAGGGAGAAATTACAATCTCAGTAATGGAATACGGCAAACAATTGTCAGAGACATCTTTTAAAAACAGCTTACCATATCTGTCACTCTGCTCCTTTCCAGATTTATGTCCAGCTTATTATCAGCTCTGATTTTACTGGTTTCATTCTTCAAAACAAGCAAAGATAAAATACACTAATTACACACTTCCCTGAATATTAGACTCTATAATAGAATATAGTACTTGCTGTTTACTTACCATTAGCTGCTGTTTAACCTGATCCAACTCAATTTTCATTTTCTAGGTACAAAGAAAAAAAAAGACCGTTTTACAGAATTAGTAAATGACTAACCATTTTAGTTGGATAGTCAGATCATTGCGATCACATATTTGTTCAACTGACTGAACTGGATCACTGAAAATGATGGTATTTCAGGAATAAATCTTTTTATGGATGGACCTGTCTGTCTCAGATTAGACATGCCAATATTAGCCAAACTTCTCATATCAATGATGTCTGATATCTAAATCTATTTGAAATTTGATAAAACCAAGTGGATCAATGTCTATGGATAGTGCATCTAAGCACCTTGTCATTCTGAATGTTGGCTCATATGTCCTAAGAATAGTGGACACACATCCATGAATATACAAAATGCTCTCAGGAAAGGGAAAATGAAGTAAAAATATCGAAGTCACAAAGTTTTGTTGAATTCTGCGTCTCAAAGAGCTACACACTTTCCCAGCATTAAATAATGGTAATAGGCCTTAAATGAAAGTACATCAGACCATTCAGGGATTTAAATATGGGTTTGTTTTCTTCTGCGGGAATTATGTGAATCTGTATCCCAAACTTACGTTTATATGAACACAAAACATGCCACTTACAAGGCAGAGTCACAGACAGATTGTTAATTTTTAAAGGACAAGAAAACTAAGCTTTCGGCACTGGTGAAAGTATCAGTGCTTGCTTATATCTAAATAGTTCGTTCCAAAAGAATACTACTCAACATATTTTGCAATTTATCTGTTCAGTTACAAAGATTCAGTAGTACCTCATTTTCTGCTCTCAGGTTTGCAAATTCACTTTTCTCTAGGATTACCATATCTTTCCGAATAGAGTCCAAATGCGCCATTATCTGCTGCAGAGTTATTTCCTAGGAAATAATACAGTAATCACTCAGGACTGCTAAGGAATGCCAAGACCTTTACAAGCATTGCATTTCAACAGGAAGAAAGAGAGATGCTTAGGTCACAGAAAGCAAAGTCTTGTTGTGCATGAAATCATTAACTGGTGACTGTCAAGCATAAAATAAAACAAAAAAAATAAATAAAAGTCATACAGTAACCGACAATGAAAAACTGGAGTTTGTTCGAGGGATTCAGAACCATTACTCTTGCTGTTTTATAGAACAATTCTAAAACTAAGGTAGAAAAGCCACAGGTATTTGGTCCACACAGTTGGTCAATAAAATAGACCAGAATTCCCTGGTTGAACCTTCAGTCACCACTTACTTTTGATGCCCATATGAAATGTGCTGATGGTCTCAGTCCAGTTCCTAGTGGACATCATCATATTTAGCACTAATGAGTCCTCCTTGCTATAAGGGTTGGCTGAGAGGCCAAGGACTGAATGGTTATGGATACCAAATTACCCTCTCACTGCAATGTGATGAGGCACATTGGCAAGGCATTGTGGGAAATCTCACTGACTTACCTATTGTGTGGACAGAGTTCAGCTTCCAACACTGTTAAGCTGCCACCTTCACAAGCACTACATTCACTTCAACTTAGAATTTTAAAAAATAATAGGAATCCTTAGATTTGAAGTGAACAAAAAACCTAATTGACCTCAGGATCTTATAATACTTAAAGGTCCTAGACAGTTTTATTGTACTGTTCCTTTAAATGTTAGTGACATGGAATTATGTGGGAGCCTGCTTTTAAGGCTATTGGGTTTAGTGAGAAGGAAAATGCCCAGCCCCAATTCAGGATTCAAGGGAGTTAGTACTCCTCAGTTCCAATTCAAAATTACAGTAGAACCTCAGAGTTACGAACTGAGCAGTCAACCATACATCTCATTTGGAACTGGAAGTACACAATTAGGCAGCAGCAGAGACACACACACACACACACACACACACTTAAAAACAAGAGCAAATACAGTACTGTGTTAAATGTAAACTACTAAAAAAATAAAGGGAAAGCAGCATTTTTCTTCTGCATAGTAAATTTCAAAGCTGTATTAAGTCAATGTTCAGTTGTAAACTTGTGAAAGAACAACCATAATGTTTTGTTCAGAGTCTCAAACATTTCAGAGGTATGAACAACCTCCATTCCTGAGCTGTTCGTAACTCTGAGGTTTTATTGTACCTACAATTTAGCCTGAGCCCACTCCCATTGAAGCCAATGGAAAATCAGGTCTGATCCCTACTGTGTTGAATACACACCCACTGTTAGCTTCCTACAATTCCTTACAGTGCTTTGGCTGTGCTTATGTTTGGATCTATTATCTCCACAGCCCAAGTTAAACATTTTTAAAATTCTGAGGCTGAATATAACATTCACTAAGCTACACCACATTATTACAAGGAAGCTACATTTGGGATCTAGGTGTTAGGCAATGGACATTTATACTTCTTTAGACACAGCAGGGTCTCAAAGCCAGTAGGGTTTCCATATTAAATGAAAAGATTAAAAAAAGAAGAACAGGAAAAACACAAGTTCTTGGGTTCTCCTCTACTGCCATAATTTAGTTATCATGGTAAAAGTTCTCAAAAATTAAAAAAATAACTAAGGGGAAAAAACTGTTGGAATAAGACTCCATGGCTTAATAATGGAGAAGTAATTTGTGCTTAATTGCATATTCTCACTGAACATAAGTGGTACATAATTCTCAGCCTAGTGTCTTCTTAATTAAACTATTATTTTGTATCAGAGTCTAGTTACACTGGCCCAATTGTCTACTGCGCAAAGAAAGTAAAATTCTTAGATCCTTTCAATTTCACACATTTGTTATGATGAAATTAATTATCCTCCCCCGTACACCCAGACACACCAAATTATTTTACTGGCTAACTACAATCACATAATCTTACAAGAACTAGCTTGAACCTACCGGTGGAAGAAGACAATCAATATGATTCTTTGCATGAAGCATCAGTGCATATTTGAACTGTATAACAGACCAGTTCCATGAACCAAATATGCAGAAAGAGTCAAGATCATCATGAACCAGGTTTGGTGGTTTTTAATTTAGCAACAAGAAACCAACCAAGACCAATACTGTAAATCTATGCTGCTGTTAAATGAAAGACACAGGCTACTTTCCCCTACCTAAAGCATCCATATCATGATTAACAATCAGGAGAATCTTCCTTGTAATTCACTTCCTGTCCTAAACTGTGGTGCAGCACTGCTGTGTGTTGTTAAACAGTTGCTGTCTCACCCCACAGGCTGCCTTTCAGTAGCAGATGAAGCAATCCCTGCATAGCATTTGTAGATCATTCTTACTTTTGGAAAGAACTTTTGGTTCCTATGGGATGAAAGGTGCTATAGTAAATGCAAGATATCACTTATCCCTCTCTAATTTAAGCTCAGCTAGGATTTTAGGACAATCTACTTGCATCTGAAGAAGTGAGGTTCTTACCCACGAAAGCTTATGCTCCAATACTTCTGTTAGTCTCAAAGGTGCCACAGGACCCTCTGTTGCTTCTTACCTCAGTAAAGTATCCACTATACTAGTAGTATCACTAAAACGTATAAACTACTATATTTTATAAAGCACCATTTGTGTTTATGATGCTTCACAGACAGATAAAATGACAAGGATACAACAAATCATTGATTTGTTACCTGCTGAGCTTGGGTCACCATATCCTTATAGACTGTGTCTAGGCTGACATTTGACAAAGTTGTTAACGCTGATACAATGGTCTCTGCTTGTTCTTTACCAAAACCTGGAAGACAGTTGAAGGATGACAGGTTAAGATGAAATTAAAAATTGTGTGGAGAGGCAAGCAAAAGCTACAGAGTAAGCATAAAGCTCAGTAGGCAAGTGCAAAGGTAAGTTACAGGTCACACTGCCAGTGACATGGAGTCAACCACCAAGCTACCAAAACTTTTCAGATCACTAACTTTTCAAAATTCTGAACTTTTGCAGCTTTGAATCTGAAGTGCATCCATTATATAATGAACATACAAAAACCAATGACCTTTCTGCAGGTGCCGCGTGCAATAGGAGCATAATGTGCAACCTGTTCAACTGCCATGGGCTATTTAGTTTTTTCTAATGTATAGTATTTTCTCACAAATACTATTTAATAAACCAAGTTTATCCTTTGCTACAGAGTGTGCATCCTAGGGGGAAAAAAGAATGAAATTAATAAGGGAATGCTACATAAATTGAAATTGCTCCACATCCTTTGGGGCAAATTCAGACTGGGCATATGCATTAGAAACACTGTTGACTTCAAAGAACATTGCACCTGTTTACACCAGATCAAAATCGGGCCGTTAGGACTTCTACTTACCAGTACTAATACTTTGTGTGTAGTGTGGTATGGTTCTAAAGCTTTAGCTTCCTCAGAGTCTCAATTATTTTTTAAAAAACTAGCTAATTTTTCTAGTTACCAGCCCAATCCACACCCAAGCTGCATGGAAGTTCTGAGAATGTCATGAAATCTATTTGTACTGTAAAACTTTACACTGGAAGGAGGTTGGACTCAATAAATCTCTTCCCTCCTCTAATGCCTATGACCTCTATGTTTACAGCTTGATCACTGTAATACCTGTTTTTTTATGTAAGACAAGACCATATCAAAGATGAGACAAATGAACATGAGAAAGAAAATGTAAAGTTAAGCGTTCAGGTAAATCTTAGAAGACTGCACCCAAGCAATGCAGCACAGGTGATATGCAAGATGAATCACTTTTGAGCCCAGAAGAGGGCTATATGAGATATGATACCAACGTATAACAGGGCAGGTGTTACCTTTGTCATTTTAAACCAAACCTTTTAAAGAAACATTGTTTTTACATAACCTAAATTTGGGGCCTTACATGACATAAGCAAAATTTAACAAAACCTAAAATCAAAGTGTTTCTATGACATTTTCTTTTTAAAAAATTCCAATACAACTGTTTTATCACTTGGATGTAAGCATTCCTCTGAAGTGTTTGAATCCCCAACACTGCACTATCATACTAGCGTATGAGAACTGGATAGGGGTTTTTTTTTTGTTTTTTGTTTTTTGAATATAGTGTTTCTACATTGTTCAAGCTGAGGGAAATGAAAAAATATAAACCAAAAGCAAGTGGGGGGAAAAGTCAATTCGATTTTTTAAAAATTTCAATTTCAATAAATTAATGGTTTATTAGTAACTGGTAGAAGGAATCTATATTTTAACATCACAGTTATTCTTTATATTTTAGTGATACTTTACAGTTAGAGTGCATTAAGTTTCTCTGATGGAAGGCACTATATATAAGTTTTCACAAACCTACAAGGTAAGTAAATCTACCTTACTGAGTTTATTTTTATGGCCGTATAGACAATCTACATGGGACGCTTCCATTTACACTGTAGCAACTACAAACAGAGATGCATGACAAATAGGAACCCTTTAATACTTTTGGGAAAGTAGCAGTATGATTTCACTTGAGTTACTTAATAGGTATTGCTCACCATGAACTTCCAGCTCTCGTACCAATGCATGGGTATCAAAGGTTAGCTTTCTCTGTTCCAGTGGGGTTATTTCAACTCTTCTCATGTCATACGACTTCACAGGGGCTGTGGCAGCAAAACCTGAAAATGGCAAGAAGCCATTAGGAAACCGTTTACTCATTCGTTTCCTTGTTAATTTTATCCTGGAATGCAATAACATTAAAGAGTTTTTGCTGCATAATCTTTCATTGTGGAAAGAAGGACCCCAGTGCACTAATATGTGTACAAAGAGCGTTGGTCCTCCTTCAATAGCTTGATTATAAAGCAGAGAGAAGTAGTCAGTCTAACCAGCATTTTCTCCTGCCCCTAAATGTTCTAAATCTCATCACTGTTCTCATTGTCTTTACAAATATTTGCTCCACTACTAGGACCCCAAACAACAATCCCAAATTCAGGTATCCAAGGTGCTACAGCCAAGACTCTGGGTATACCAAAAGTCAAAATACTGTGATTGAATAACTTGATGATGATCAGTAATGTATTAACTATTAAAGGAAGGTATTTAAATCATGTTTCTACTTTTAAAAGTGTAACTGTTCTAATGTAGCCAACAAGAAACGGGTTGTACAACCAGCATCGTTCTGAGGGCCCTCTATCAGAAAACTACACAACCACCAGCTACATTCTTCACACCAACTTCTTGCCCAGTACCCTATCAGCAAAGGGATTGCATCTTCTAGTGACACACAAAACGGGGGTGCCATGTCAATAAATCACCAATAATTATGGAGTGTCAGTGCTTGGGAAGAATTTACTGGTTTACCAACTAACCAATTAGGCAACAGACTTTGACACATGATTTTAACACCTAATATATCACAGCTTTGTTGAGTTAGAGACTATTGATTTTACTGTGTGAAAGATGACATCCCAGAGGATATAAAGAACTGGGATTTGAAGTTTTAACAGTTCTTGTGATTTACCCATGCTTGCATCTCTAATTTCCTACAAGTTCTTTCACTCCTCTGTGCATCTCGTTCTCCAACCTGTTTCAAATAGTCTCCTAATTGCTATCCAGCAAAACCTGTCTTTCACATCTAAATCCCTGCAGAAAACCCATTTCTTGTACAAATCCTTCCTTCCTACCACAAACTCTCTCCCTTCACCAAACTGTTGTCCCAGTCTTGTCATAGCTTTGATTAGGAAAAGAAATAGAGGTCAGATCAGCATTTGACATAGGGTCAACCTCCTCCAGCTAAATCAAAGTCAATGTTAATCTGCATCTACACTAGGGAACTAGTTGTGGTTAATTAAGCCTGACCTCACTTCCTAATCTATACAAAACTTATATTAAATTTAAGATGATTGGGATAGAGAAAAGTATTATTCTATTTAAGAAATGCATGTAAATTGCATATGTGGCTGTATATAATATTTAAGTTTCATAATTCCCAATTTTCCAATGCTATAAAGCATTCATTTCTAACTAGGGCTGTCAAGTGATTAAAAAAATTAATCTCGATTAATCATGCTGTTAAACAATAATAGAATACCATTTATCTAAATATTTTTGGATGTTTTCTATATTTTCAAATATATCGATTTCAATGACAACAGAATACAAAGTGTACAGTGTTCACTTTACTTTTATTACAAACATTTGCACTGAAAAAAACATTTCAATTCACCTCACTGAAGTACTGTAGTGCAATCTCTTTATCATGAAAGTTGAACTTACAAATGTAGAAGTATGTAAAAAAGAATAACTGCACTTAATAAAACAACATAAAACTTTAGAGCCTACAAGTCCACTCAGTCCGCCTCCTTGTTCAGCCAGTCATTCAGACAAACAAGCATTCAGTGTTGGGAGAGGATAGGGGAGGTGGGAAGTAAGATATGACTTGTGCAAGAGAAGAGCCTGGGAGGACAGGGAGTGACAATCGGGAGGAGCAAGCAATAACTTGTGCAGGAGGAAGGTGTCTTGCTGCTGCTTCTGGAAGGGTGGCTTCTGGTACTGGGCTCGCCAGGCTCCCCTCCTTTTACTGAGGTAGGTGGGCTCCCTTCAGCTAAGTGAGCCCTTGTTTGCAAGAGAGGGTGGATTTTACCTCAGGCACTCATCATACTGCAGGGGAGGAGAGGCTCGTGCAGGGAGGCTGAGGTCGCCAGGCCCATGTTCTCTATGGGGTAGCCCCACAGTGAGCAGCCGGCTAGGGGCAATGGGGCACGACGCAGGGGGGTTGGTCCTGGGAGTGAGGGGCTGACTAGGAACAATAGGGCCTGGGCTGGCTAGGGTGTCCATTTTGGCCAGGACAGTCCCCTTTTTCAGCTCTGTCTCGGCTGGCCCTACTTTGCCAAAACTGGGCATTTGTACCAGCTGCAAGGCAGAGCAGAGAGTGGAGGCTGCTGCCTGGGGGTCAGCTGAAGGCAACACTGCCCGCCGGCAGGAAACTGGAGAAATTTGCTGCTGGTGGGCAGTCCTGGCTTCAGAGCTGACCCCTGGGCGGCGCAGAGCTGGAGTGAGGTGGGGAGATGAGCCTCGGGGAGCTCGGGGAAAGGGGGAGGGGAAGATCAGCATCAGCTGTGGGCAGCAGCCCCAGCAGTGGGTGGCACGGGGATCAGGGGTCAGCCCCAGCCCCAGGCAGCACAGGGGTCGGGGGGGGGTCAGCCTATTAATTATACAGGCCTATCTCACTCAGTCCCCTCTGATCATACTGCTTTTTTTCCTTGACCAGGACTGAACATATTATATGCAAAAAAAATATCCCAAACTATTAAGAGAATGCTAAGGTTGCAAAGTCAAGTACTCAAAAGTTAGGAAGTGTCAGAATTAAGGTTGCCTGTGTGCATTATGATAAATAAAGATTATGCGACTGCATATGATTTTTGCCACAGGACCCCTGCACAAGCCCCCATTCTCTCTGTCCTCGCATCCCAGCTCCAGCTAAATCTTGCTAAATCTTTCTGCCCAACAGCTCCAAGCTTTAGCCTTTCCTATCCACCCACATAGCTAAAAACCTCATCCAGGCTCTCAATTCACATCCCACTGCAACATCCTCTTTGCTGGCTTTGACAGTCTTGCCCTGCTTATAGCCATTCAAATGTTCCTATAAAGATCATTTCCCTAGCTCATCACGCTGAGTACTTCACCCCCTTCTTTGGCTCCCTCCACTAGCTCCCCCTTCTCTATCATTTCAAATGTAAGCTATTTACTTTCACTTTAAAGGCCTTTCATGGGAATTCAATAACCTCCCTTAGAAGCCTATTCCAGAGCTTAATTATCCTTATAGTTGAAAAGTTTTTTTCCTAACATCGAACCTGAATCTCTCTTGCTGCAGATCAATCTCATTACTTCTTGTGGACATAGAGAATCATCTTCTTTATAACAGTCTCTAACATATTTGAAATCGGTTATCGTTTGTCTTCCTTTGTCAAGACTAAACATGCTCATTTTAATCGTTCCTCAAAGGTCTGGTTTCTAACTCTTATCATTTTTGTAGCTCTCTTCTGGACTTTCTATTTTGTCCACATTTTTCTTGAAGTGTGGCATACAAAACTGGACAGAGTACTCCAGCTGAGACCTTACCAAGCTGAGACCTTACATACAACATTCCTGTTAATATGGCCCAGAATACTGACCTTTTTTGCAGCTGCATCACATTGTTGGTGCACATTCAATTTGTGATTTTTCACTACAACTTGCAGATCCTTTTTAGCGGTACTACCAATTAGCCAGTTATAATCCCTTCTGTAGCTGATTTGTCCTTCTTAAATGTAGTATTTTCCACTTATCTTTATGGAATTTCATCTTGTTTAATTCAGACCAATTCCCCAGTTTGTCAAAGTAATTTTGAATTCTAACCCTGTCCTTCAATGTGCTTGCACATCACCCCACATGCTACTTATCAATTCTCATACACCAGTGACCCCTCAACTCCCACCTCTGCTCTGCCAGTAAGCCCAGTCTTCTCGGTCAACCACTTACATTTTCAAATGAGCACTTTCCTGCTTTCTCACTCACTACCTCTCATGCTTACAAGGAAATTCCCATTACAATCTGCAAATCCGCCTCACTGTCCTCTTTCAAATCCCTTCTTTGCTGTGATGCCACCAAAAAACCAAAACACCTAGACTGCAGTTTCACACAGCGAGGGTGAGCAGTGACTGTCCATCATGCTGACCAGTATTATCTCAGAGCACATCTTCACTACCAACATTAAAACTCTTCAACGTGGCTGTGTAGTCACGGCACCAGAGAGCTCTCCCAGCGTTGTAAAACACCCACCCCCACGAGGGGAGTAGCTACCCAGTGCACTGTCTACACGGCCACTTTACAGCGCTGACACTGGCATCGCTCAGGGCGGTGTTTTTTCACACCCCGGAGCGAGAACGTTTCAGCGCTGTAAAGTGGCCGTGTAGACAAGGCCTCACTGTGCACCCTCCTCCCCATAATCTCCTATTGTCTCCTACCTTAGACTTGGACTCCAAGCTCTCTGGGGGAGGGGCTTTTTTCTTCTTCTTTAGTACAGCGCCTAGCACCCTGGTCTGTGATGGGGGAGCCCCTTGGCACGGGATAAACAGTGACGCCAGGCCCCCCTCACCTGCCGACTGGGTCGCCCACTCTCAGGTCAGCAGCAAGGGGGGGCTGAGGGGGGGCTATGAGCTCACCCAGCTGGGTGCTGACCCCGCCCAGAGTGGGGCCGGGAGGGGGGAAGCTCCACCCCCCTGAGAAGAATAAGGCCCCTCAGTGGGGGCAGATCATGGGGGGACTCACCCCCCTGCGGGGGTGTCCCTCACCGC